GGAGTTGGATTCTCTGAGTCTATCTCGCTGAGCAGCTCTGGCCTCTGACAGCGAATGTAAGTTCAGGCCAAGCAAGGGAAAGCTGACTAATTCTTACAATGAAGTGCTGCTACTCAACACAATATTAGAAACTAAAATATGAATTAAAAAACTAAAATCCCCCAAGAGCTTCAAGTACCCAGCTCCGACCCACTTGAAACAATCCATTTAAATTCCACCTGCTGAATTTCAAAGATTTCCCAGCTGCTACTTTGTGGGAAGTGCAATGCCTCTTCCTGACACCAGCAGCTCAGTACCCGTAAGGCAGGACATTGCAAAGCAGTTTCCATCTTGATTTAGTGCTGTTTTAAGTTTATAAGAAAAATGTCTCTATGTAAACAACAGACATTTTGATTAAACACTAAAGCTCTTATTTTGGCTGTTAAATCAATAATGCATCTGGCCCGCACGTCGTTTACATTCCCTAGAACTGGGCGCCCGTCCAGCCGGTCCTGCACTGACATCATTTTCCAGCAAGGTCTGGCTGCGCTCAGCAGCCAGTTGAGAAATATTCTGTAAGACAGCTACATAATTTTCAAAGTGAGAGCATTTCAGCACGAGGGTCTCCCAAACGCCGGAGCCTGAGATGGTACAGTCCAGCCAGGAGAGGGCTCTCACCTAACGGGTAATTCACTAGCAAAACGTGTCCAGGCAACTTTTAGTAGACATTGACAAAGGCCTCTGGTGACTTTATCTCTTTCACCTGAAACTGACTGGAAGGCTTCCTATTTTTCTTTCCCAAATAGATTCACTGATATGTAACTATAGCAATGTATCGTGTGCGTGAACACCTGTGTGAAATGCTGGTACTCTGTGCTAGTTGGCAAACTGCAGGTAAGAATTCCTCAGTAGTGATGTACTGCTTAAGTATATGCTATATAGTCACAATGTTTTAAAGTACAAGACCATATTATACGAGGAAAACACAAAACCACCACCACTAGCACTCACGATCCTTCAAAAGAAAAAAAGCTGAACAGATCAAAACAGATTTGGTGGAGTCACTAAGAGAATGTTAATTTGCAATTAGCATAATCACTGTCAGCAGCTAGAAATGAAGAAAAATACAAAGCAAAAGTGCAAAATTATACTCAAGATCATCTAACAACTATGATTCTCAGTAAATCAGAAAAAGGTCATTATGATTCCACGTTAGCAGCAAAATACTCTAATCCTGCTGGCTGGGCTAAAGCATTCCAGGTCCTGAAATTACCCACCTGCAGGAATTCTCTGACATTAGACCCCAGGACGCGTAAGATGGTATCATAGCCGGATTCTTGGCAAAACACAAAGAACATCTTCCCAAACATTTGAAGGATTTCTCCAGCATTGAGGTCTGTTTCATAGGTTTGAGAGGAAATAAAAGCCACAATTACAGGTAGAATAGTGTTAATAAGAAGAATGAATATACATGCACATGAAAATGATTTAAAATGCCCACAGCCTTTGGGTGGAACAGACACAGATCTAAAACAAAAGAATTCTGGCCAGAACAGTGCAAAGAAATCTGGGAAAACAACGTATTAACAAGTTAACCATGTAAATGTGTACTTACTAGCAAAGCAACTGTTCTCTCAGCTTATATAATGAACTACTTAATTTTGACATTTTATAGCAAACAATTAACATTTACTCTGAAAAACAGAGATTTTAAACCATCAAGAATGCACAAGAATATTTTGATACAAAATAATTTTTCTTCATATAGATATATTTATGAACCTGACTGAACAAAACATGTACCTGAGTGTCCTATTCTTTTCTTACTATCCAGATTCATACTTCCTAAAGTTTACTCTTCCCCGTAATTTTTCTTTAAAAGCTTCAGTTGTTATCTTATTCAAGTATGATGCAGTGATTTACTCATCCTTGTCTTACTGAAAACATAGGTTTCTGCATTTACTGATAATTGGCTCTAACACAAAAATTTATACAATAATCTTAGTGCAAAGGCATCTAGCTTTTTTTTTGGAAAAAATCCTTGAGAGTTTGAATACATTTTAAAAAGATTCTGATGTTGCCAAACTCTTCTCAGGGAGAAGTTATCTTACTTCATCATCAGACTGAAAATACATACATCTTTACTCGCAATGCCACTAGATATTTATTTCATATTTGCTTCCATCTTGATTACTAATGAAGCTTACTACTTTTATTATCAATTTTTTCTCTAACTCTTACATTCTGCCAAGCTTCCTTCTGTCCATGCAAACTACACCCTCAGTGTAAATTAAATTCTTTTTTTGTTTGTTTGTCTTGTTTTGGTACAAGGGATCGAACTCAGGTCCTTGCGCTTGTGAAGCAGGTGCCCGAACCACTGAGCTAAATCCCTGGCTAAATTAAATTATTTGGGACTAACAGAGATGGTATTTGAGGGCGATTTCTCCCATAATACCTTTTCTAACAACTGTCTGTGGGGGACCTCAGTTCGCTCACTTTTGCCAATGGCTAACATGACTTGTAGACTGCAAGAGATTTCAGGATAACGTTCTCCCCATAACCCACTTGTGTGATTTCTATATTGCTGATGCTGTACCTGAAGTTACCACATTGTGTATCGATGTTTTTTTTCTTCCCCAAAAGATGGCTTTCTGTGAGCAGAGACAGCTTTCTTTTCTTTCTGCAAAGACTTCGTACAGGAAGACTGGGGCTTGCCTGGGCCCGAGCCTAACATCATGTGAATACCTCTCCTGCCAGGTTTGTGCAGTATACAACTTGTGTAACCATACTTTGCAGTCCTGAAGCAGACACTGCCCTGGGCTCAGATGGGTAACTGAGGCACAGAAGGGACACTGTGCCTAACTTACTGAGAACTTTGCTGGCAGCAGCGACCAAATCATAAGTTTTGGAATCATCGTATATTATTCTGACGAGAAACTGTCCTTCTTCATCTAACTGGGCCTCTTTTCTGGAAAACAGGAAAGAGAGAGAAAAGTCAAAATAAAAGAGCAGCTACTACAGGTTTAATGGGTAGACAATGCTTTTACTTCTGAAGTGGGATTTTCTGGTGAATCTGTTTAAATCAAGTCATACACCTAAAAGCTACTGATTAAGCCAAAGTGATGTTATACCTTTCTCCCCAAAGTGTCACACTTAAATACATTGAATACATCTGACATTTACACAGTACTCCAATGCCCAATACAACACCAGCCAGGCGTGAGGTCACGCCTGCAGTCCCAGTTACTTGGGAGGCTGATGCAGGAAGATCGCTCAAGCCCAGGAATTCAAAGACAGCCTGGACCGCATAGTGAGGTCCTACTACTAAAAAAGAAGTCGTTTTGGCTTAAAAAAATATTGTTGCGTCCCTTTATGGGCTGAGCATTGCTCTAGGGATACAATCCTTGTAAAACAGACCAAGCGCCCATCTCTTAGCACACCTGCACGTCATGGCCCCTCAAAGGGGTGGGGCCCACGAGGTCTAAAACTAACCAGACTAGAAAACCGGACAGCCCGTGGAGCGCGGCGGGAGGAAGGCCGGCCGGCAGTGGCCGCGAGGTGACCGGTGCGGGCACAGAGGCGACAGG